TTGAAAGAGTTCAAGGATGCTTTTATTCTGACTGACCTTACACTGAACACAGAGGATGGCGGGAGCATATGTGTCCACTCCACAGTCCTGGCTGCTGTCAGCTCACTCATCTGGATAAAACTGAATGAGAGAAAAGCAGAAAACATCAGAGTGACTGAAGGTAAACCTGCTCATGCTAGTTCTGGAGGCCATGGGTGGACAGTGTCTCTTGGTCCAGAAGTGGATTGTGTCGGATTAGAGGCCGTTGTGGAGTTTGCGTACACTGGACTCATATCATGTTTGAATGTGCAAAATGTTGATCAGATACAAGTTGCTGCTCGAGCAATGGGCTCCCCTCGAGTTTTGGCCCTGTGTCACCTGTACAGAGAGAAACCCACATTACTTTGCAAAGACAATAAAAGGGTAAAACTCTCTGCTGCAGAACAAATGAGCATCAATCTAGAGTCTATCAAACAGTTGTGGATGCACAGAGTTGGTTGTGATGTCTGGTTGGAAGCAATTGGTGGATCAGTTCTTGGTAAGTACTCGATCAGTCTTCATAGACCACTGTTCTACAGATATAGATGTGACTGTGCTCAATATCCTTCTTTCAAAAGGGTTATATTGTACCCCCCTCAACCTGCCATTGCTTCTTTTAGATAATTCAGCTATGGTGAACTAGAGGAATATCCAACCTATGAGGCTAGATATCACCAGCATCTGAGGACTATTATTTTATCTATTTGTGCAGTTAGACTAAAACATTTCTTTACCCTACAAAAGTAAGCTAAATTGCACTAAGGTCTACAGTTGCACAATGGATAAATTGACAACTATAATTTCTAAGATCAATAAACTTGAGTTGTTGGCATATACAGTTGTTTCCACAATTTTACATCCATTAACCAACTGAGTCTACCTTTAGAAACTAGCGTAAGCCTGAACAGTACCAACAGAGTTAACATTCATATTTAATGCTCATCACCTTCTTCTCTTCAGTTCACAGAGTTATCCTGGCTGTCAGTAGCGACTACTTCCGTGGGATGTTTACGTTGGGTATGAAAGAGTCCCTTCAGTCTCATGTGAGTCTTCCATTCCTCTTGGCCTCAGATCTAGAAGTTCTTATTGGCAGCTCCTACAATGGGGCTCTTCCCCTCAACTGGACGGGTGTCTTTGAGATCGCTGGACTTTCTCTTCAGCTCCAGTATCAACCTGCCCTGTCCTTGTGCTTTCGCTTCCTTCAGCAAGAAATAAATGCCCACACTTGCCTTGACGTGGTATCTTTTGCTGAAGCCTATGAAATGGCACACCTTCTTGAAGCTGCAGATGATTTTGTCCTTCGGCAGTTCCAAGAGGTGGCCTGCACCTCCAAGTTCAAGGACCTGCCAGCCAAACAGCTCCTGAAGTACCTGAATAGTAACTCACTCTGTGTTTCATCTGAGCTTGTTGTGTTTAATGCTGTGCTATCATGGATTCAAGCAAAGCCCAGTCGAAGGATTAGACTTGCTGATGAGTTAATGAGAAAGGTACAGTTTTCCCTGATGACATTTAAGGAATTCAAAGAGGTCCAATCACAGAACATTTGGTGCAATCACATCTTGACAGAGGTATATAAAAACATATCTGAAGACTTCTGCTGCAACCAGACTCCGCAAAAGAGCCAATGCCGTATCTATCTGCCCAAAGAGAGTCTTGTATTGATTGGGGGCGACCAGATCTCTGAAGACCTGTGCAGCCGCAGCGTCAGCAGAGATATTTGGTTTGGAAATTCTGTAAGAAGTCTAACAGGGACAAACAAGGCCATTGAGTGGAGAAGATTGGGAGAAATGCCAGCTTCACCAAGGTTCAGTCATGAAGTTGCTGTGCTCAATGGACAACTGTACATTCTTGGAGGCAAAAAATATTACGGCAATGATGACATCTTTAACTCTGTTTATAGGTGAGGGAAGGCAATATGACAAAGACAGGAGACAGATATGTTATGTATTACAATTTTAACATCTATATTTATCTCTGCACTCCACTTGTAGGTACGACCCACTTCAAAACAGCTGGGAGTCCCTGTGTGAGATGCAAGAGAAGAGATCCTCTTTTTCAGTGGTTGTACTGGATGGACGATTATACGCTGTTGGTGGATACTGTGAAAGTGATCATATGGATACTGTTGAATGCTACTGCCCCACTACAAACTCCTGGAGGTAATCTAGAAAGAAAAATGTTTACTGCCATGTGCATAGTTCCACAGCATTCTTTTATCTTTATGTCTTTGACTACATCAACACATATGGATTTGTTGCTAAAAACATCTTTAGCAGTTTAAATTTCATGAATGTGGCTAGGCCCTTGCTTACATCAGTCTCTTCCCTTTCAGATTTGCCTGCCCCTTGGATCTACCGTTGGGTGGGCACGTAGCAAAGGTTTTCAAAGGGCAGATCTTTATCTCAGGAGGACAAAACACTGACCAGTTGTGTGTTGCATCTATGTTCCTGTATCACCCGGAGACAGGAAGCACCTTCCTGACAAGCATGAGCAACCCTCGAGCTCATCACAGCATGGAGCACCTGGGAGAACACCTGTATGTAGCAGGAGGAATCACCACAAATGATAATATGACTGTTATTGACCAGCTCGCCTGTGAAATGTACAGTCCAGCCACCAACTCCTGGACCGCGTTTACATCTCTGCAAGTGCCACACGTCGGGGCTGGGAGTGCAGTTTTGGAGGGAAAGTTTTATGTGTTGGGTGGCTACAGCCAGGAGGACTTCAGTGACACTAATATGGTCCATCGCTATGACAACACCACACAGAAATGGGAGAACATGGGACAAATGCCAGGGCCCAACAATGAAATACGAGCATGTGTGCTGCGTTTGCCACAACATTTACGTATGTAAAATTTTGTCAGCATAGAGATTTCAGACATAATATTTCAGGAACAAATCATTTTTTACAATGTGTTGGACTTTTGATTTCTGGTACCTGAAACAGAATTTTTGAAAGGAGAAACTCAATGTTCAAGTATTGAAGTGTTCAAGTGATCATCCTAAAATCTAAGTAAATCATCTCAAACTACACAAATTTGTCAGTTTTATTGACCGCAGCTTCCATTTCATAAGATAAATTTGACTATTATGTGCATCCAATAATGAAAATAATGCACTACTGCTGAAACTTGTAAAGTTTTCAAACTGACTATAGACGTTGTGGTCCCTGTGTATTGTAATGAATAGGTTATTAAATAAATGTATTTTTAACAGTGCATCAAAGTTTATTCTGTGTTGTCTTATGACAAATGTGTCAAAACACTATGATTTATAGGTACAGACATTTGAGCGTTTTGCTGAAATAAATTCTGTAAAGTCTGCTTTCATCAGTTGAGTTTTTATAATGTATGTAATGTGGGTTGTAATTAGGCCTGCCACAATAAAATCTGTTGGATGATAAATTTCCCCAAAAGTTATTGGGGGAAACAATATTATTGTTGTTTTGAGACCATTTTCAAGCGATTTAAGGGTAATGCAAAAACACATTCTCAAAGACCAATAAACTTTAAATTCTAATGAACATTTAAAACTGAAGACATTTTAATTATCCAAAATGAATAAAACAACAAATACAACAAATAACATCAATTATTGTCCTTCAAAAAAGATACAGTTATAATTGGTCTCAATTATAACTGATATGATTTAATATACAATTACCTGATTTGTTTATAGCGACAGGTTGTTATAACGTTGCAAATGCTTTGTTTTTGAGCTCCACTCACGTCGAAAAATGAAAATGATTTTCTCCTTCTTGTAATACCAATCTATGACCACAAGAGGGGGGTGTCGTGCCACTCCCACTTTGCTCAATTGAGACGCTGTAGTAAAACGTTTTAAGACACAGTAAACCCTGCGATGAGATAAAAACAGGAATTCATACTAGGTCTAGAGATTATCATATCTACTATAACACAACTACGGTTTAAACTAATTATTTTTCTTTTAACCAGACACTGCATTTTTCTTTTTTTTAATTTTGTTAAAATAGTTTTGATTAACATTGCTAAAAAAAAAGGGCTTCCTTCTTAAGTTGTCCCACTCTTAAGAAAATATGTGAAATTTAGTTGCATTTTGATGTCATTTTGTTGGCAGCAGTAGATTTTCTCACTTCACACTTAACATTATTATCTATCTGGCCTCATCCTTCAGCAATGATATCAGCGGATGAGAGCGGTAACCGCAGTGGGCTCTCTTCCTCTAGATCTACGATGTTGTTCAACTGAGTGTACAGATGTTGCAGCCATAGCAGCGAATCTTTTAGGCGTCAAAAGAGATGAATCAATATTTGTGACCATCTTCCTCAACAATAGGCTTTTGTTTCACACCAATTCTTCAAGTTTACCTAAAACCAGGATGTAAGTCAGAAATAAGATCTTTCTGATGACATTTTAAAACAATAGTTGCAGTCTATACACCAGACAGCCAGTCTGCCGTCAAGAGCTTAAAAAAGCATCATTCAAAAATATCACAGCAATGACCTTTAATGGTTACCGTCATGACTGGCAAACTATCGTAAAAGAAAACCTGACAAAGACATCACTGTAGGTCCAATTTCCTGTATCTTGTTTTTTTTTTTTTTTTTTTTTAATTTGTAAGACATGGAGATAAAGCGAAACAAACTGAGAACTTTGTATTGACTTCCAGGGATTTTAGTAACTGCATTTATGCCTAACCCAGACATTGTCCTTAAAGAACCCCCTTTGTAAACTCACAGACAATGATACTAAATATGTAAAACACATAAACTTTTGGAGTGTTTTTCCTCACTTTTATTCTCTATTCAATAATGATTATATTTACTTAACACAAATACCTTCTGATTTTAGTGGGACACGCTATGCTAGCTTGAGCAGCTTGATGAATTTGACAACTAGCCAATCAGAAAGATAAGCATGGAAAGCAAAAAAATAAAAAATACATTTCAATTAATTAATTTTTAAACTTAAGTTTTATAATAATGATTAAATAGTTGATTAGATTTTACAATAAAAAATGATTAAAATTTTCTGGTTAAAAAATGTTGTTACATTTTTTATTTTGTATTCTTTTGCATCTTCAGAGCAGGCCAGTTAGAATGAACAGATTCATGTCTGTTGCTATATGAGTCTTTCTGTACCTAAACTCATTATCATATGCATGTGTTGTATCAGTTTTAGCAGTACTTCTCATTTATCCTCATTCAATCATAGAAATTCTCCATCTTACAAGCCAAAGCAGGTGGAGCCAGAGTGGCAGCTATGAAGAATGTTGAAAGACGCACAAAACATTTTCTAATTAGTAAGGGAAAAAAAAAATCAAGACATTTCCTCGTGTGTTTTACAGATAAAAAGATAACGTGGGACTTTCCTTCAGGGGAACTTTTACACTTAAAAGGAGGAGCCTGTTGAAAGTTGTGTCTATTTCTTTGGCAGGAACCACACAGCAAGCAGCGGCGACGCTGTCTGGACATTGAAAATGGCCATCAAGGTGTTTTTTCTTGCTGTTTTGTTCAGACTTGCAAATTCTCAACTCCCATATATTCGGACTTGCGACCCGGTGCCAAAAGTAACGACACAGACTCCGACAGTGTGCTCCAATTATGAGAATATTAAATACATCTATGAAGGACAGGAGAGCCTCAGAAAAACTGTTTCACAGCTGAAAATGTCGGTGGAAATCAACAACGCCATGCTTATGAGATTGGAAAGGACTCTAAACAACAGCCTTGCAGAGTTGACCAGAGCTACCGAAAGTCAAAGTTCTGCCATTCAGAGTCTAAGGAGGGATGTCAACAAACTGGAGAACCACCAAGAAAGAGTCGGGGGAAACTTCAGTGAAATCGAGCAGAGACTGGATATAACCGAGAAGAAGCTAACAGAAAAAAAGGCCAAGCTTGAAAGTCTGGAGACAAAAACTGAAGTTGCTTTTGAGAACATGAACACGCTGCTGAACACGTACAAGGATGAACTGTCCCACCTCAACTCTAAGGCCCACGACCTTGAGGTACAACTGGAAGGTCAGCTGAATGTCACCAAGGTGGACCTTGAAGAAAAACTAGATGTGATTGAGAAAAACACTGAAGGTAATTTCAAACTTAATATTATTTGAGATTAATGAAAATATTCATAGTTCAAAGGCTTTAACTTACTTAACCTGTAATTCAAGCTATTAGCACCAAACTACACAACCAGAAAACTGAACTGGACCACAGAATCACAAGCAGGTTCAACAAAGTCATTCATGAGCTGGAAACACAAAACGCCACGATGAACCATCTGATTGGTCAAACTGCAGGTGGGTGTTGATATAAGTTGGTATTATTAAATTTGTATCAACAAACAATAACTGATAACATCCCAGTGTCAGTAAATGGAGTCAAAGTAAACATGAACAGGGTTTAACTTGTTGACATGTTTTTTTGGGGAAAAAAAAAGCCAAACTTGAAAATCTGGAGATGGAAACTGAAGCTGCCTTCAACAACACCAACAAACTTCTGAGCTCCTACATGAAGGAACTTTTTCACCTAAAGTCAACGGCCCAGGACATCGAGGTCAAAGTTGAAAATGGGCTAAACGTCACTAAAATTCATTTCGAAGATAAATTGGAAGCGGTTCAGAAAAATAACGAAGGTAACTTAAAATAAATAAAAAACCTACACTGCTTTTTCCATGAAGTAGCATTGCACATTTTCTAAATCGACCTTAAACCCAAACACTTAAACCTTTCTCTAATTGTTCTCCAGTCTTCAATACAAAACTAAACCATGAAAAATCTGTACTTGGCTCCAACATTGAAAGTTTGAACCAAGAACTAAAGATGCAAAATCTCACAGTGAACCATCTCCTGAATCAGGTTGCAGGTGTGTAAATATGATTCAATATTTCGTTAGGTTTATTGAACACATCATAGTTCCTGTATAATCTTTCCAATTTGAAATCAATGTTTAGTTTAGTATTTTTTTTAACAAAAACTGAATTTTCCTCCAATTCTCAATGCTAAATTTTGAAGTCAAAATTTTTACACTTTTGCAAGACTTAAGAACTTAAAACTAACCATTGTGTTTTCTTTACCTTCTCTAGTACAGAAAAACGTTGCCTTCTCAGCAACCATCATTGAGTCTGCTGATTCGTTCACCGGACCGTACTCTCCTGGTACTAGCAATATCCTTAAATTTGACCGAGTCTTCACAAATTTTGGCAACGCCTACAACAAAAAGACAGGTATGACCCATCATTTAGATCGCTGACTCTCCATAATCAGTTGCAAATCAATATAATATTGACTAGACGATCTGGGTTTTATAGAGTCTACTCGGACAGCAGGAATCAATCGATACTAACTCCAGCTCCTCTTCCTCAGGGGTCTTCACGGCTCCGGTGAACGGGATTTATCACTTCAGCTTCATGACCTTCGGTTACGGCAGCCACACGTCGGGAGCCATCTTGGTGAAGAATGGGAGTTACCAAGTGAGCACCTGGGAGTTCACAGGGCTGGACGCCAGCGACACAACCAGCAACTCAGTCATACTGGAGATGAACGCCGGAGACTGTGTCAATGTCATTTTGTGGCAAGGCAGTAAAATACACACGGGTGTTTTCAGTGGCTTCCTCGTCTTCCCATTGGTCTAAAAAAAATTTTTGTTGACACTGTCACTGTGTTGTGATAGTACAGTATGTATGAGACAGATAATCTGTGAAAGAAAAGAAAATGAAGGTCCAGTCCTGTCAAAATGTATACTTTTCACAAAATACATTTGTGTTTGATTCTTTGCTAACTTTGCATCATTTGTAATAAATCTTGTAATTAAGTATATACAGTATATTAACCACATATACACACTACATAGAGACAGAAGTTACATAAACTCCCTCTGTTACCAAGTCCTCTAAGGCCTTACCTCAATTTTTAGATGTTTATGTCAGACTGTACTTCTGAATGTAAGTTGTTCCAAAAAGAAGTTTATGTGTTGAAAACATGTCTAAAGACATATTTATTGAAAATAATGGAGATTACAATATAATTCCAACCACA